AATATTGCTTGTCTTATTCTTATCTTCCCTTTACTGAGATTCCAATTATATATGAAGTACACTATTAAACTATGTAATGTATGCCTTATACTTTTTTCTGTTTTTAATCTTTTTTGTCTTTTTATGCTTTAGTTTGAGAATTTCCATCCATCTCATCTCTCAGTTCACCCACTGCCTGTTCAGTTATGTTTAATCTCCTGATAAAGCACATCAAGATTTTTAGATGTTATTATAATGTAAATTTCTAAAATTTCAATTAGGTTCTATTGTGTGGTTTTCAATTTTTGTAGTTGTCTACAAAAATTCTCAATCTTGTCTTTAATTTTTTAAACATAATTATTTATTAATAACAATACTTTCCTACTTTATATTGTTAAATTATTAGCGTAGGTATTTTAATGTCTGCTTTGACATGTCCTTTATGTGGACCGTGTCCTTCTGATTCTATTTTCTGGTGTTCTCTTATGTTTCAGTCTTATTTTCTCATACTCCTGCTATATTTTGAGTGACTAATAAATATTTGAGTGATAAATAAATAAATTTATTTGTTTGTTTATTATTTGTATGTATGTATCTGCATGATTTTATCTTCCTCCAGAGAGGATTTCTTATGTTTCTGGCAACCGACATCCTTGATCATTTTAATTCAATCAAGAATTGAGATCATTCAAACCAGGGCATCAGCCCTTATGAGAATCTATCTATTAGCAATTCAAAGTTACATCTAGGAATTGGCTCTCTAAGGTCTGGGGTATTTTCCATGGTCTCAAGTCTTTGATGGTGTCAGAACTTAATGGATCACGTCGGCTCCGCCAAGTGTCAGGGGTATTGCTGACCGAGAAGGGAAGGTTCGATGGTGAGACGCCCAGCTGGAAGAATGCCCAAGAGGCAGACGTGAGGATGAAATGGCCGGCACCAACTTTATTGTGTGGAGCTCACTTCTGTTGGGAAGAGCAGTTCTATTGGGGAGTGCAGTCTATTGCCCGGGGCACTGCAGTCTTGCATGCACTTCTGCTCCCCTTTCTTGTGCTCCCCTTCTGCTCTCTCCTTCTCCTCCTTCTGCTCTCCCCTTCTCCTCTCCAGGGTACCACATGGCTCCTCACATAGCAGATACAAAAGTGGCATTCAGCCACACTTGCGTGATACAATAAGCTGAAGTATGTTTACATATTTTCTAAGTCTGGAGTCCTATTCCTAGCCACAAGCCTGGATCACAGCCAGACCTTGGACCAGCCAGACCTCGAGCCAGTCAGGCCTTGGATCAGCCAGGCCTTGGATAACGGCCAGACCTTGGATCACAGCCAGACCTTGGGCCAGCCAGGCCTGACAACCACAGGTGGGCCCTGAATTCCAATTTTGCTTCTCTAGCTCTGCGAGTTTACGAAAATTCTCCCATCCTCTTAGTCATTACTTTTAAAATCAACATGTAATTTTTAGGGAATAGCAACTCCAGATCTGCAGGCTCATTTTTTTTAGCTTCAGTTCTGGCCCATATAGGAGCCCAATAATGGAATGCTTTGGTATTTCTCTGAAGTTTTCGAAGAGAAATTAATATTTTCAGCAATGTTACTTTGTTAATTTTATGTAATTTTGAAGATTTATTTATCTTTATAACACATAGGAATGATTCAAATAAGTGAGTAACTGCAGTGAAAGTGACCGTTGCAAAGTCTGTTACAGTTGTTTAAATGGTAGTAGATGACACCAAAACTCAGGAAATTCCAGCGCTGCCATCGTGGGTACCCACTTTTCCTTCCCACTTCTCCCATTTCCATACCACACACATGTGCCTGATACTATGTTTCGATATGGCCTGAACTCATCAGGAGCCTTTGTACCTTTCTGCTTTTCACATCTTTCCAGATCTTTATCTTTTCATATTTATTGTATGTTTGCTTTTCTAAGGGACGCCCCATCCCCAAAAGAAGCTGTCAACACTCTGCCCATATTCCCCCGGGTAATCATCTGTTCAACTCTGAAGACTGATTGATAGGGACATCTGTGGAACTCTGCCTAAGAACTTGTTCATTTCACAAGGGTGCACTGAGCTCCTGGGCAGGGAATTCTCTGTGAGAATCGAGCTCCAGTTTCTACAGTGGTGCCTAGCTTGTAATGTACCAGTATTGCCTTCCTTCCATTTCTTGTCACATTGTCCCACTCCTCAACAGATATTTATTAGGATCACCTTCCAAATGAACAACTTGCATTTGAGGTCATGTTCTCAACTATTGTTTCTAGATAATATACAGAAAAAACAAAACCAAAAAAAAACCATATTGGATGCCTCATTAATACGTTTATTGAGAAACCTTCGATATTCTTCACTTTATAGAATTTTAATTAAAAGGATCCTAGGGGAAAATACCAAGAATATATTACAGTGAAAAATGTCTTTAGTATCGCATGTAGCATATTTAAGAAAAGCAGCCATGATAACTTTGTCCAATAAATGTATGTTTAAGAATACAGAATTCAAAGCCTTTTAATCTCTGTTGCATAATAATAATAAAACATATTTTGTGGCTAATAAATATTAATACATAGTGATTAAAGAAAATGTTTATATAAAAAATATTGGCTTTTTTTTATTGAGCTTCTACTCAAGATGACTAATAAATGCAAGATCCCCAGCATGTGAGTGACAGGTTGACTGGTAATTTGGAAAGATCAGTAGATAGGTGCCAAAAGTTATAACTTTCGATTATAGATGAGATTCTGTTGGAAACATACTTCAAATATCAAAATAATTTTGTTTATTACCTAGTGACAGTACTCTGTAATCGCAAGATAAGAAGCCACTGGATGAACAGCCCAGATTGATAAGTTTTAAGTGAAATAGCTCAATTTTTAATCATTGATAACTCAGTTAAAAAAAAAAGTGGGGGAGGTCTATGTTATATAAAACAAACAATATATCTCTGCTTAATTTACTCCCACATTGGGGAGTTTGGAAATTCTTCTTAAGTTTATATTAACTTAATGTAGATGAAGTTTTTAGATTTAGAGGCAAAGGGAAGATTATATCTTATCAGAGAAAAATCCTTAAACAAGGAGATGAGTAACTGAAGACAAATTCACTACATTCTCCAGTTTGGTCTAATAAATGTATCCTCCCTGTTTAACTCTTAAGGTTTTAACTTCAAGGTTATTTTCTTTTTTTTTATATTTTATTGAGGTATAAGTGACGAATAAAAGTTGCATATATTTGAGATGTACAATATGATGTTCTGATATAGGTAAACATTGTGAAAAAATTACCAAAATCAAACTAATTAACATATTCATCATTTCCCATGGTTGCAGTGTTTTGTTTTTTCTGTGTGCATGCGTGTGGTGAGAACACTTAAGATCATCCTTCTTAGCAAATTTCAAGTACACAAGATAGTATTAATAGTATTTTTAACTATAGTTACCCTACTATAAATTGGATCTCCAGATTTATTCATTCTGTGTAATTGAAATTGTGTACACTTTGACCAACATCAAGACAATTTTAAAGAATTGTGTTTGAAAACAGAAAAAAATAGGGAAAAGGTAAAGAACAGTGTTCTCAGCATTTCAGTGCTGTATGAATAGGACACTTTACCTACTTGCTGAGGCACAAAGTAAAGAGAAATGAATTCTGGTCTTGAAGAACAGAAAGTAAAGGACTCACCAAGTAGCTATTCGAATTGAGTGCATTTACTTTTTTCCTTAGTCCTCTTCCTTCTAGATTATGCTACTTTTTAAGTTGCTATAGATTTTATTAAGAAAATTTTACACATTTAAATTTATTATTGTAAATTTATTACAGTTTTATAAGAAAATATTGCCATCAACCATGATAATACATTTCCTTCGGTATAGAGTATATTTTTAACATCGAATATTTTGTGAGTGAACTAAGAAAGTGGGAGGTTATACTCTAAGAATATGATAAATCTATCAAACTTTTTTGAACTTTAAATCTATAGTTAAGCAGAGGCAAAAAAATAAAACAAACGAACAAAAAAAGAAAATCAAACTTAAACAACGAAAAAACAGAAAAGAAAAATGGTGGTAGGAGAGAGATAGAGAGAGAGAAAGAGAGAGAAAGAGAAAGAGAGAGAGAAAGAGAAACATTCATATAATCTGAAAAGAAGAAGAGAACTGGAAAAGAAACTTCAAAATTAGCCAGGAAAATGCAGAGTGGTACCTGGCTCTGAAAATGCCAGAAAGTCATTCAAAGCCTGTAGAGTGAGAAACTAGAGATGGTCTAAAAGAATAGAAGCCCTAGATATTTATGTATGTAGATGATGAATAGGAAAATATATCGACATTTATAAACTATATTAATTTTGAAAAGTTTTAACTACAAAAATATCGGGATGAAACAGACCATAATTTAAGAGGGCAGTAGGAAAAAAGGCTGAAATTCCTGAGCCTTCTCTGCACCTTCCTCTCTATTGTCTCCTTCCCTCATCAGGCTAGTGTCCTCTTGGCTTTTTAGAAATGGGCTGTTCTTCTCTGGGACTGTTTCAAGGGAACCCTTTTCTGTTTGAAGAAAGGGTGTAAATGGTAACACGATGGATCATTCTCAGGAAGGCTCCCATCCCAATGGAAATTATGCCTCTGATGAATCATACTAGAAGAAAATTGATGTTACTTCATTTTCCCCTTGGAAGGAAGCATCCACAGGTCAAACCAGATGCAGATAATCGGGCAGCAGATGCGGGCAGCATAAGCTAGAGGAAACACTTTATTGGCCATGATGCTTTCCTGGTTGGGATGGGATGCGCATTAGTGTAAAACAGTCATAGCGTTACTGACATAGGAGTGGTTCACTGGCTTTGGCTGTAACAACAAAATTACAGCACTCATAAATATAATGTGTGGGAAACTATTCAAATGTAACTACAGTTACAGAGAAGATTATTGAGTTACACATATGCAAAAGAGCAAATCCACTGTAGGAACCATGATCACATTGTGTATCACACCCATCACTGGGAGTATATAAATGCCACAGTCCCAGACATTCAAACTCAGAATCTTCTCCCTGTAACTCAGCCGAACTCACATCTCCTGTCAACATGTCCTACAACTGCTGCTCTGGAAACTTCTCCTCCCGCTCCCTTGGGGGCTACCTGCGCTCTCCCCGCTCCTCCTGTGGCTCTTCCTACCCCAGCAACCTGGTCTGCAGCACTGACCTCCGCTCTCCCAGCACCTGCCAGCTGGGCTCATCTCTCTACCGTGGCTGTCAGGAAATCTGCTGTGAGCCCATCACCTGCCAGACGTCCTGCTACCGCCCAAGGACCTCCATTCTCTGCAATCCCTGCCGCTCGACTTACACCACGTCTCTGGGTTCTGGATCCAGAAGCAGCTGCTCCCTGAGCTATGGATCCAGAAGCTGCTACTCCCTGGGCTGTGGTTCTAGGAGCTTCAGACCCCTGCATTCTGGGGTCTGTGGCGTCCCTTTCCTGCGTTATGGGTCTGGATTCTACTGTCCAACCTACTATGCCTCCAGGAGCTGCCAATCATCATGTTACAGACCAACCTGTGGATCTGGCTTCTACTGATTAATTTATAAAGTGTCCAAATTATTTTAAGTATTGAGGTCAAAGTTTTTACTCAGTAAAGCTATAATTTTCATTGTCAATAGTTAATACCATTCTTTTATTCTTAAATCATCAGTGTCTTGCATCGCCAATTTTTGGCAGATTCTGAAATTAATGAGTAATTCAAAATTAAATCCTAATATCTATACTATTGATAAAATTTAGGCTATTGCATTTCCATCAAAGAGCAATTGAAAATGAAAACTTTAATAAATTTATGTACTCTGGAACAAAATTAAAGTCTTATCTCATTATTATTACTATTTTCTCTCTTTTTTGCTTATAATTTTTGTATTCAAGGACTTGGATGATTTAAGTAAAGATCGATATGACTTTGAAACTGGATTCGGGCACAATACAATTGATAAATTTTAGCAAATTTCTGTTAACATTTGATATGTTTCCTATTAGAAGTAGTCATTTCCAAGAGGTCCATATTTTACATGTCTCAATGTCAGGGGCATTGCCTGAGAACAGCAGACATGAACTTCTACTGATAAAGGAGATCAAAGAAATCGGTACATGAACTGAAAATATAAACAATAAGAATATGACCTGATGTATAAGGTGAGGTTTTACATTTTATTTGGCACAAGATTCCAGGAAGCGGGTATAGGAAACCATGGAAGTTGAAAGAATCAAATAGGAAAATCTCATAAAGGACATACTTTTGATTTTACAGTGGGCGACTGAGACTCAATCCTTCAAGGCCTTTGCAGGAACATGCGGAATGACTCTTGGGATTGTCCACCCCAAGATGTGATTAACAGAGAGAAGCGTTTATCCATTGGCTTCTGTCTTTCATTGGCTGAATGTTTCAGATGTGTGTTAACTTCCTGGAACTTCTTAACTGAACAAAGGATTCACAGCAGTCTCCTTTTGTTTTCCTAGCTGTGACTTCTGAGAAGCCCAGGTAGAAAGATAAAGAAACAGTGTATATGCTCAAGGGGAGATGCCTGTGCAGAGAGGATTACAGTTGGCACGAAATTATGCACCATAACCATGCTTGGAGATCACAGGTGAGAGCATGAGGGTATAAGGGGATGCACAAGGGGTATCAGATGCATCGCTTTCATTTAATACTCAAACATTCCTGTAAGAAAGACAAACATTATATCCCATGTACCTTTCCAGACAGGAGGTAATGAAAACTCAAAAAGGATTAGGAGCTTGCTAAAGTTTATAAATCAAAGATCTAGTAGAATCTGATCTCTCGAATCAAATTTTTGTTGTTCTTTCCTGAATTATTTTTTTTCAACGTGCAGCTTCTTGTTTAAGCAAAGAGCACCGAGTACTTCTGGTACTACAGAAATTTTCCTGAATAGGCTTCAGCTCTTTCTGGTTTTCGTTTCATTAGAATCATGAGTAGTATCCATAATAAAGAATAAGAATGAAACTAAATTTACAGTTTAGAAGTTCACTAAGAATTAGCTAATTTCTTTTGAAAACAGTTGCATTAAGAATAATACATATTAATAGACATAGAGAAATGTCTGATTACCTCTCAGAGAGATATTGCTAGAAATTTTGAGTGCTATGACAAATCGTGTATTATTAACTTTTATTATTATTATTAGTGTCACTTCGTAATAATACCTTCCTCCATACCTAACACTATAAATGAAAACAGTTAAAAAAAAATACTCTCTCACACCCACACATACACAAATTCAATACCAGCAACCAAAAAAAAAAAAAAAAACCAAACACTGAAGATGATAAGCTTCTTGTTAAAAATTTTATAATGAACAAGAAGATAAAAATGATTGTTATGTAACTTGACAGATTTTTTTTTTATCTTCCTTTCGATTCCCCAACACACTCTGTCACTCCTAGAAGCTTTTCTTTGAAAATTAAATTTAAAAAAATTAAATGGCCCAACTCTTGTGACATCTCCCTAACACTGCAAACTTTATCAAAATTTTCATTTTGATAGATCAGCTTGAGGGGTTGTAGAGGCCTTCAGGGTACAATCATGGGACTGTCCTTGAGCAGAGGAAAGTAGTGCTGTAGGATGCAGAAGTAACACAAGGTATGGAAGGAAAGTTGAGGATCTAGCATGGAAGAGTAGATAGCCCAAGCTGAGCAAGAAACAGAAGAAAATGCCTGGCATGCACTTTGTTATGTAAAATTCTAATGATCTAAAAACCAATAATTTAAAGGCACGAAGGTGATGATAATAATACAACAGAGATAGCAGAGGCGGTTGATGAGATAAGAAAAAACATTCATTACCAAAACAACTTACTCTGAGTACACACAAAAATGTGTTTAAAGTCTTAAAACTACAGTTTCCATTTGATGAGCAGAATACTCATCAGTTGGTTTGGATTGAATTATGTGTTTCCAACAATTAAAGGGTATTTCTTCCCCATAGGAATCTTACTTTATTGTTTTTACCATGATGTTTTTCAGCAAAATTTGTTTTTTATTATTAGTGAGACAACCCATAATTTTAACTTCAATGTTGAACTTTTTAAATGATTTTACATTAGCATGAAGTTTTGATGGCTTTACTTGAATTTTTTGGACTAGATGAAGAAATCAAACCATTCTTGGAATTAATTCATTCTCTCTTTGAAACATTTGATGATACTGATATAAAACTGGCTTCGTCTAATCCTTAGACAAGTTTTTCTTCTGCTAATGTAGAAACACATCATCAGCTCTTGCTTCTTTTGTTTTTTTTTAACATGCACAATAAAACTTAGAATTGAACAGGAGCGAAAATGATTTAGAACAGTTATTTGACCTAAATGAAAATGTATGCATCAGAGTGAGATATAGTACACATCTTTTGCAACTGCTAATGATAAATAATTATCTTTGGAAGCAATTGTCTTAAATTTTCCACTCTCTTTTGAAATGTAAACTGATATTTCTTCAGAATAATTGTCTCTTTTATTTTTCATGTGGCCAGCAATATCACTGATCCCCATAGTAAACGTTGTCAAATTGTTGTACAATTGTGTAAGAGGACCAGTTTCATTATATCTGGGAAATTCCTGAGAAAGTTTTGAAGCACCAACCGGTGAGCCAGCCAGGAGACTTAAGAAATGGGTTTTGAGAAAGAGGCATTTGAGAAAGAAGTCCCGAGTTGGTCATCAACTTTTCTGTGGGGAGGGGTGGCTCCTATGTCAGATGCTTGTGGACTGCCATGGGAGCACAGGGACGCCTGGAAAACAGTGGCTGCTTTAATGCTAAAGGCGTCTTCAAGATGTGTCTCATTGGTATGTAAATTATTTTGAGTGAAAGCAATGGAGACTTTGTGGGCTCATGAAGAATTTTTACCTTTACCTTAAATAATTTAACTTAGGGATATTGCCATAAGAATTATCACCAGAAACAACAATTGAAGGCCTATCTATAGGGCAGGGCAAATTTCTAATCACTGAACATCTGCTCTTATTCTTCTCCTCTGAAGCTCCAAGGTGCCTTACCTCATCCTTAGCTCGAAATGCCATATATACCTCATTTTCCTTTTCTGTCTCTGAAAGTCTCCTGTATGTGTGGTCTCTGACTCTTTCATCTATGTGGGGTTCCCATATACACATATATAATTAAATTTGGTCATTTTCTCTTGTTAACCGGTCTCATGTCTATTTGACTATCTAATCAGCCAAAAAAAACTTAGAAGGGTAGAGGAAGGTTTCTTTCTCCCTCACAATGCATTTGTTTGAGAAACTGAGTATAACATACTGTGGCAAAGAAGAGAAACAAATGGCTAGTGCCGTGGCCTGGCCTCTGCTGTGTCTAGTTCACCTGGACACTGATGCTCAGGGTCGTGAGGCTGAAAATCAGGTTAAAAAGTCGGTAGAAGAGCTGAGAATAGAGAAAGATATGTAGTTGTCCACTACCCTGCTGTTTTGGGGGCTGGTGGAAAAGGTGGGAGAACAGGATGATAAATTAGAGAGATAGTAGTGTGTCTTTTTGCAAAGCAAGGAGGATGCAAACTGCCTCAGCACTTGTGAGAAAGCCTGATTGGAATGCTAAGAGGTAGAGTCTCTGGGAAAATGAGGAGAGCAAAGGGAAGGATATTATGGTGATTGGCAATGAAGAGGACAGAGTGCCTTAGGAAGTCAGATCTCTAATATAAAGGAAAATTTTAAATAGCAATTACCCCAAACCACCTAGGAGAAAATTTACATTCTTTCTTTCCTTGAAGTTAAAAATCTTATCATGTCTTTGAAATGTAAACATGACCCACAGACTGGAGGAAAAAAGGAGGTCTTTCATAAAAACCAGAGTGCTAGAGAAGTTCCCTTGCCAAAATCCATTTGTCATAGAGCTAAGATTTTTATAAAACTATTAGAAAATAACAAGGATGAAAGAAAATGACTGCATAAGAAGAGTAAGATATGTTTTTGGTAAAAGTTTTGAAAAAGGAAGATGAATTTTGCTGAGGGAAAGGAAAACAGAATGTGTTTTTTAGATAAGTAAAGATGTAAAACACTTTTTGTATGTGTGTAAAGGAAAAAGAGAAAGTAATTTTGTCCTAAAGTAAAATGATTGTTCAAAAATAAAAAAAAAGAAAAAGGACAAAAGCTGAAAAGTACATGAAACTTGCAGAAGGCATGCGGAAAACAAATTCTGAGGAAGGAATTTTATGTGTAGTCAAGCTAACATTTGAATGGTTCTGTTAGGTAGCTAATCAGACATGAGTAACAGGGGGAACAAAGGAATAGGGCCCAACCTAGAAACCATCCAAAGAACACCTCAATGACAGTAGAATTCTGGGTAGGCACATGTGCAGTAGGCAAAGAGTTATACAGCAGCCAAGTGTCAATCAAAATGACCTTGCGAATCACCTAGGAACGCCTTTGGAGCCACCCATCACGGCCCAAACATAATGCAGACATTCCCACTTCTGGGTTCTTTCGGGTTTTTGTTGTTGATGTGGTTGCTGTTACAGCGCTCTGTTACAGCTCTCATCGCTAAAACCACGTGCCTTCCTGGAGCAC